TGGTTTCTAGCAGCCTGAACCTATCTTTAAAACCTCTTTGCAGGTACTACCTGCAACTTCAGAGAATCGTCCAGCCATCGGACCCCGGACCAGACTCCTTCTCCTCCCGTCAGCTTTCCAAGCTCCAGTACCCGAACCTCAGTTCCCCCCGGCGGATACACCTCACCTCACCCAGTAAGCTGGTGCCTGAATTCATTTCTATTTCAGGTCTACATTCCACTTACCTCTCCTCTTCACTGCCTTCAGCACAAAGATGATTCTGACCCAGTGGCCCCAAGACATATCACATACTACACCTGATATATATCTGTTTGATTTATTTTCCATCACCTATTTGTGTTTCTGTTTGTGGGTCAAGCGTATAGCTTCAAACATGACAAAAACATGTTGTAAGAAATGTCATACTTTAAACCTTTTACTGTAGAGCAGGGGTAACCAATTAAAAATCAGTGGAGTCCAAATAAAGAAAATCAACAACCAGTAAAGGTCCAGAGACATTTTTAATTATAATCAGTTACTTTAAACAGAATTTAACACTAAAATAAAATATTAACAGGAGAAGCAGCGCAAGTGACATTTAGACTCTGTTGACTGACAACATGCAGTAATTTATAAATGTTTTAAATCAGGCTGGGTCCGGATTAGCCAATCTACAGCACTTAACATGAAGCTCTAAATTAAACTAAGGTACATATTGTGTCCACTGATCATAGCTGTGTTCTTCTGCAGCATAAACATCTTTGGTAAATTCAGATGATTATACATGATCAGGAAAGGAATGTTCCTGTCTAAATAAATTCCAACAGTCGACAGTGAATTTCAGAGGACAAACACAAAATATGAAGTCAAAGGAACTGTTTGTCCCAATCTTGGAAAAGGTTGTCTTGAAGCAAAACTGTTGTGAAGGATATTGAAATATGTCAGGGTTGACGATCCCATTGAGCACAAAAGCATCCATCATTTGGAAATGGAAGATGGTTGGAACCAGCAGAACTCTTCCTACCTAGCGGACAATCTAAATTGGGTGAAATTGGGAGAATGGCCTTATTCAGTAAGGTGAAAAAGAACCCTCACTCTGTCAGTGTTTCTCTATAGAAGGAGAGGAACCTTACAGAGGGATAACCTTTTCTTTCTCTACCAAACCAAAAGTCAAGCATGCACAGTAGAGTGGACGCCTAAAAGAATCTCAGACCATGAGAAAAACATTTCTCTGGTCTGACACGACACGGATTGAAAACTTTGTGGCAAATGCCGGGTATCACATTTGAAGGAAACCAAGCATTGCTTATCACCAGGCCAATACCATTCCCATAATGAAGCATGTAGGTATGGTATCGGCGTAAAAGCAGCATTAAGCAGGAACTGAAAGAAGAGTCAGGATATAGGGAAAGACAAATGAAGCAATATACAGGTTCTCGCGGGATGAAAGCCTGCTCTTGAGCGCATCGACCAAAGGCCCAAAGGCAAAATCTCAGAGAAGCAGCTTCAGAACCACTCTGTGAATGACATGGTGTATTCAATACATACTTCAACTTGAATTTATATCTTTGCAGAGATCTGGAAATAGCTATGCATAGATATATTTCAATTAAATCTATGAAGCTGGAGAAGTACTGCAAAAAAGAATGGACCAAATTTCCAAAAGATCGGTGGTCTATGTTTGTGGCATCCTATTCATCATATTGCGTCAGTAGTTTCTCCCAAAGGTGGATCAATAACATAACAAAATATATTATTTTATTAAATATAAATGTGATTTCTTGGTTTTCTATCTTTAATAAATAAAAAAAATAACTGTTTCCTCATTTGCTTAATGAGGTATTTTCTGTGAAATGTTGAGGATGCTAACTTAACTGAAAAAGTGCAGAGCTGTGAATACTGTATACTTTTTGGATGTGTTGTTGCAGAAATAAATCTCTTTATGAGATATGAATATCAAAATATAGTACTTTCATAAATTCAGTATGTAGCACAAAAGAAGACAAAGAGGTTATAATAATTTGATACCTCTGTGCTTTGTGTTGAAGTATTTTACACTAGTGTTATTTATTTTTTAACAATGAAAAGAAGTTCTCTACATTTAGTTCTTCTTTTGAGTTTCACAGTCAACTCTTCCACTTTGTCTGCCTGGTGTTTTCTAAAACTCACACCTCCACAATCTAGTCTCATCATACTGAGTCATAAGATGAGTTTATTTCATCAAATATTGATAACTTTTGCTCTTGTTAACTTTTTAAACTCACTGTTATCACTGTTATCTAAGATGTGAAAAACACTCAATCTTCCATTGCTGAAATAAAAACTCCAGTACAGTCTGCAAGAGAAAATTCTCAGGATTTTTTACTATAAAAATGAATGACTTTGTAACACCATTTTAGAGTTGAGACTTACCTGTTCAGCGTTTTTAATTACAGCCCTTAGGAAATTTGTTCTTCATTTTTTGTAACTTTGTATCCACCTTTAAGTTAGAGAGATAGCGTTGACCACCAGAAGAGTCCCAAGCGTATCATTTATAGATAGGCCTCCATCAAGGACAATGCTTAAAACTAAACTGAATGCCAGGTCAGATGTAGCTATAATGAAGAAAGAAAAACAAAACATAAAGAGAACATAATGCTTAAAGCTGAAATCTAAATGTAAGTGTGTGGGAAAGCATTAATTTCATCCTGAGCAGTGCAGCATAACTATATACTTCAGGAATGAACTACAGACTTTACTGAAAATTAGCATTTTAAAACTTGTCTTTATGGTAAATAAGGTGTCTGTCATGGTTAGAAGATGACTCTGAACGAGAGAGGTTTATTGAAAAGATATGGGTCTGTACAAGAAGCCGTGTGGTCTGGTCTGGTTTTTCTGGGCTTCTGCTGAGAAGATGAGACTGGTGAATTAATGGAAGCAGTTCCTGGAGGATTGTGCTAGGCTGAGAACTCACTGGAGAGAGACTGGGGTCCGATCTTGGACTCCAGTGGTCCGAGTCCTTGTCCAGTACTCTCTCCCTGGTTGATGGTTCGAGGGTGGACTGGCAGGTGAGCGGCTGAGTGGTGGATTGGTCCGAGATCCCTCTCGGGTTCCAAGTTGCGTTCTAACGGGGATCCAAGGTCTGTGTTTCCAGGCTTGGTTTCAGGGTCTGAGTCCAGGGTTCTGCAAAGAAGGTGCAAGAGCTGAGTTAGACAAAGGTTTGGGTCACAGGAACAGGACAAGGCTTGGTCTGTACCAACGCTGAGGCGTTAATGAACTGACGCCCTCCTCCTGATTCCAGCTCCTTAAGAAGGATGGTAATCAGCTCAGATGTAGTGCACCTGCCAGTCCATCCCTGCTGAGGAGAGAGAAAGAGAAAGCCTGGCCTGCACCCAGGGCCCAGAGTATGACAGTGTCTGCCTTATCATTTTTACATGAGATGAAGCTTAAAACCATAAGATCTGCCTCCATTCTACTTTTTGAAACATTAGCAACCACCAGTAAATCTAAAGTCTGACTGCTCTGTTGTGCAAATATGGAACAATCAGATATTTAATGTATAATGAAGCTTGATTATTAAGGAATTTATGAGTGAGAAGGATAACTTTAAAATCTATTGTATATTTAAAGGAGAACCAATAGAGGATCAGCTGAAGGTGTTTAACTACATTTTGTGGATATCATGGTTATGATCTAAAACTGTCTAGCCTTGAAGTTACAAATGCTTGGGCTAGCTTTTCAGCATCTGTTCCAAACAGAATGGCTTTAATTTTCGGCAGAAGTATGAAACGTGTTTAATATTGAAGTTAAACTGCTTATCCTATTTAAAAATAGAAACACTTTTTAAATTTGCTTCACTACTGGAAGCCAACCTAATGCCACACTGATAAAGGTATAGGTCTTTGAAGTTTTTCAATCAGGACAACCCAAGAACAAGGGAGCGACATAACAAGTAACCCTTAGTATTGTTGCTTTTAACAGCAAGTTGAGGAGGCCTGACAGAGGTACAAACATAGACCGGGGGACTGGGATGCTGAAGACAAAGATTTAACCTGTTAAGCAGAGACAGTGTGTATGTAGAGTGTGCCTGAAAGCCAAGATGGTGCCAAAAAAAAAATATTTGATGGCTTTAAAACCATGTGTCAGAAGAACAAGCTTGCTAAGAGATAACTAACTCGAGGGTAACATTTACAATGAAAAAATACAAACAAAAAAGTATAAGAACAATTTGTACCTGTAAGCTATGCATAGATAGATAGATAGATAGATAGATAGATAGATAGATAGATAGATAGATAGATAGATAGATAGATAGATAGATAGATAGATAGATATTGATATCTTTCAGCAATATTGTAAAAGTACTGTAAACCTTTCTTTTTTTTTTTCTAAGCCTGGCCTAAATGGCCTAAGGGCCCACTATGTCTTTCCCCTGCATGGGAGACAATAATAGGGATAATAATAATAATAGTAAATGTTTGTGTAAGCCCAGCGTGCATTGGGACTAATTTCAAATCGAAAATAAACAACAAAAATCAATAATGTCACAGTTATCAGGTCTTACCACAGATGTTTGGCCATGCGTGAAGAGTAACCCATAAAAGCTTTATCTCCAAGAGGATACCTGCACAACTCTCAAAGGGGTCACGAACCCCAGTGATTGACCAACAGTTGCTTTTTCAAAGACTCAAAAAAGAGAAACTTTTGTCTTTTCTGGATTTAAAAGCAGGGAATTCAAAGTCATATTTTTTTCTGTCCTCAAGGTATGTAGTCTAACTGATTGGGTTAATCAGGTTTCTTGGATAACTGTAATGTTTATTCTCAGGATAAGAGTGAAAAACTATCTCACGTATCTCACTCCTTGGTGCGCGCCTTGATTCGGCGTACCATGGTGTCTTTTTGGTGCGCGCCTTGAATGAGCGCTGTCCAAGGTGCTGCGGCAGCGCACGTCCCCGCCCATTCCTCCCTTTCTCCTCACACACTCACACACACATGCACTTTCTCTCTCTCTCTCATCCACGTGACTCACCCCTCTGCCGAGTCTGCCGCGAGAGCACCATCAGACTGCACCTTTTCCTCCTCAGGAGAACGGAGGAGAGAGCGACCCAGAGTGAGACTTAAGGAGAGAGAGAAAGGGAAATAGGGAGAAATAGAGGCGATAACACCTCGTCATCTTCAATCCGAGCCCGTGACAGTTGTACTCTTGTCTGGTCATTTCCCATTTTCCTCTCTTTCCTTCTCGCGGATTCAAAATCCACCTCAAATGGGAAGGCGGATCGATGCGTCGCGCGCGGCACTGTTGCCGCGGAACCACAGGATGCGCATGAGGTAAGCAGGGATGCTTTGAACAAAAAAACAATAATGAGGCTTTTATTTACAGATGCTACGCTTCCACATCCCCTCTGGCCAAATAAACGCCTCCTGTTGTTTGTTAAAACGGTGGTAGGGGATAATGTAGTAGTGAGATGCTAATAAGGCGCAGGTGACGATGGAGCTGAACAACTGCCACAGGGAGAGAAAGGGGGAAAAATGGAGAAGAGGTATGGCTGTAAATCGAGAATCGATAATTCCACTGCATTCATTCACTCTGTCTATCAATACCTGTGATGTTCCAGCTTTCTTTTGCCTTTTTAAAGGTGTGAAGCCTCATGTGGTGGTAGAAAGCGACTATATTCACAGTCGGTGCGGGTTGTGTGTCTGTGTGTGACTGTTAGAAGGCGTTGAGATGTTAGAGGAAAAAAAACGGGTTTTTAGAGCCTCTAATTCGATTTGAGTCATCCACCGCAGTAGCAACAGTGGCGGGTGCTGCTCTTTGTGATGTTAACTAGAATCCAAGAAGGTGCAGGGAAACAGTAAAGTAAAAAAAAAGTGCATGTATAGATCTAAATTTGTGTTTATAGAAATATATATGCATATAATGTGCATAAAAATAAATAAATGCATATTTGCTAAATTATTTTTAAAAATGCAAACAAAGTGTTCAGTAAAACTGTTTTCACTAAAATATTGTTTGCTAAAAATTTTAATTTGTGACTTGAAGCTAAGGTGCAGGTGTGCCATCTAAAAAACCTTCTGCGGCATTATGACTCTCCATTGTGGAGATGCTGTGTCTGAGAGATTTAAATTCAAGCTTTTATTACCTAAATCAAGCCAACTGTGTTTACAGATTGCCCTAATGTGTCCATGCTAACGGTGTGCTCAAAATCCATGAGAAAGTGTAATTTGAGAATTACAGGCTTAGCTTTAGTGTGTATGTGTGTGTAGTATATGAATGTGTGTGTTGACCCTGGTTGATTGTGCCGTCTCTGTTCTCTCTGTAGGTCGCTGGAGAGAGTGATGACGCGGCAGTGAGAGACACACATACCTCAACCTGCTGGCACACACTCACATATACACACATATCTGCCCACACATGCTTTAAGTCTTGCCCCACAAAGACAAGGAAGGAGAGGGGGAGAAATTACTGCTATGACGGTGTCATTTCTCACCATTACCAGTGTGTGAGCAGCACACACACAAAAATACACTCGCACTCCATAGGGAGTTGCCTGCGTAGGGATAAGACCCTATCTAGGGCAGAAAGATGGAGCTTGCATCCTGTTTGTTCCGCATCTAACACAGAAACATATAAACACACACACCTGGAGTCTCATGACTGAAGTAAGGGATGAAGAGGAGACGCTGAACATCCCAGAGACAAGAGGAACACAAGGCCAAGGCAGAAGATGTTCAAAGGGTATTAAGAGAACAGAGGGTGCTACTGTCTGACCCCTCCCTCTGTCTCTGGAGGTGTATTATATCTGAGCTATCTTTGGTTCAAAGCAATACCAAGACAGCAGGGTGCACAGGTGACAGTGTTCTACGAAGTGCCCTGCAGTTATCACCATGAGCTGTAGGCTAGAGGAAACACCCCAGCTCTAGCCTCTATTTAGGTTTGTGTGTGTGAGAGTGTGAGAGCGACTGTGTGCATGAGTGTAATGGCAGTTTGTGTTTGGGCAGCAGCCCCCCTGCTCTTTCTGGGGCTGTGCCTGTGCAGTGTAGGGGGCCAGGCCCAAGGGGAGGTCCTGGAGTTTGGGGGCGTATCTAGCCAGTGGGGGAGGTTTCCAGTATGGAATGCCTGCTGTGAGAGCGTGCTGAGTTTCAGCCTGCGGACTCAGAGCCAGGAGGGCCTGCTGCTCTACCTGGATGATGAGGGTTTCTGCGACTTCCTGGAGTTGCTGCTTCTCCACGGCCACCTGCGCCTACGCTTCTCCATCTTTTGTGCTGAACCAGCTGAGCTGCAGTCAGGCGTGGCAGTGAGTGACGGCCAGTGGCATGCAGTGCGTGTCAAGAGAGACTGGCGGAACACCTCGCTGGAGGTGGATGGGCGACTGGAGGGATGGGCAGAAGTGAAGAGTAAGAGAAGAGACATGACAGTATTCAGCCACACGTACATGGGCGGGTTGTCAGCAGATCTCCACTCCTCGCCGCTACGGCTCACCTCACCCTCAGTGAGAGAACACCCCGCCTTTCGAGGCTGGATCACGGCAGTGAGCATTAACGGCTCGCTGGTGACGCTGGACAGCTCAGAGGGCGTCACCGTAACAGCTGGCTGCGGTTCGGACCACCAGTGCCAGAACGGAGGGGTGTGCAGCGTGGTCAACGACCAGGCCGTCTGTGACTGTTCCGACACTGGCTACCAAGGCAATGACTGCAGCGAAGGTAAGGCCTAAAACCATCCTGACCCATCATATACATCCCATTCTTTGCATATTCTGGCACTATTTTATACACACATAGACATACAAATCTCTTTTAATCTAAATCTGAAAATTAAACCTGTAAATTCATTACCCTAGCCTCCCTGAATATCATATCATACTGACACCTTCACAGCTCTCCTTAGTTGGCTCCTATAGAACAGAAGACTTCACAAAAAGTGCAAGGCCTGCATACTGATAATGCTTGCTATCGATTTCTTACATTAAATTGACCCTACTACGTTCACCCAAACTTAAATAGGATACCCCTACTAGGAAGAGCACCCAGTTTAGCCAGCTTTGAGCTCAGATAGTGGGAACAGCTGTTAAGTGTTGCAGTAACAAGGTAAATCCTTAAAGTCAGCAGACTGAATCCAAATGCCTGAAACTCAAATAAAGGTATCACCTGGTGAGCTAAATTTTTTTAAATGGGTACATTGGTGTATATGGCGGAACGCAGGAACCTATAGATCCGTTGTGGATTTGGTAGCTGGCTGTCATTGAGAGACTAATTGGAACCAGGCTAGGAGGCTTAAAATCATCGGTTGTTACATGGCTGACACCTGACTGCCTGTGTTAATGGATTTGGATTGATTTTAGATGGCCTTCAGAGCTACTATGCATAGGGTGTTGAAATGATGTGTGTAGAATCCATCACTTGCCATCAATTTAAACAGCCCAGGGCTCTTTGAGATGCTCTGTTTCCATTTGTGTGATTTGGTATAGTGTGTGTTAATGTGACAGAAGACAGAAACAGTGTAGGTCGCTCTTTGTAAATGCATAACTACTCAAATAGGAACAACAGTGCTTTGATATTGTACAGCCACACAGATAGTCTCGTTTAATTCTGCCAAACAGGCATGTGGTCAATATGAGCAGCAATAGACTGGCCATTGTAATTATGGCTATTACAATAGCAAAACAATTGCTTAATGAGCTCTGCTATCTAGTTATGGCCCAGAGTGCAAATGCTTTCATTGCCACTCAGCTAAGGATGTGTGTGTTGTCAGAATTGCTTGACTTCATTCAGAGAAAATCTGCATTCTTGATCAATAGCTCTTGAAACTGCTGTAAACCAAAGATACCTTCCACCGCCAAGGCGATTGATTTTTTTTCCCCACCCTTTTCTTAAAATTTAATGACACAAATACTTCTGCCAAAAATGGCTGTGTGGCCTTGTCGTTTCTCTAGCAGAAAAAATTGGCCTTATACCCCTCCCAGCGCCGCTGTCGGCATCACACACATCTCTTTAGCCACCCACCGCATCACACCTTCTCATTTAGTGGACCGTGGGACGGCCTGTGTTGCCATGGAGACAGGACTAATAAGGAGACCACATGCCAGGAGTATCTCTTCATCAAAGTTCTTTCATTTTCCCCTTCGGCTTTAGCCTCCCATTTTCTATGGTGTTTTGGCAATATGGGACATCAAACACAGTTTCTTCCATCCAAATCTACAGTATTTTGACTTACATGTTAAAAGGTATATGTGTAGTACCATCTATGTTTAATATGGAAAGGATCAAGCTTAGCCAAGCAGCTGTAAAGGTACATTTGCTGCTGCTGTGTTTGCACATGCAGAAATGATTAATCCACTGGGAAAGAATTAGTAAAATCATGCTCCAACAATTAGTCAATTAGTTGTTCTGTGGAAAATGAATTATAAATTAGCTCAATTGTGATCTCTTAAAAAAAAAACATGCTAATTATTCAGAGATTCAAGAATACTAAATTAATGCATTTGATGCTTTGATAATGCCAGGCAAGAGCAACATTGTACTGGTGCTTCTTTACAATCAATGCCGGAAGTACACACAGGAAGTCCATCCCAATGGGAGTTTAATAAAGTCATAATACATCCAGTGAAATAAGGTTTAGGTATCTCATCCATCAACGTTAGGATTAGGGTTAGCCATCAGGGAGAGAATAAACAAAAACGATTAAATTACATTTAGTCCATAGACCTCAGGCTTGAGTTTTTTCAGAAATGTCTGGTGTGAACTTTTTTTTTTCATTTGACAGAACTTTATCGAGAAAAACAAATGATCTGGCAAAATATGAACAGAGTTTTTTTTTTTAAAAACAGCAGTCAGGGGTAATTTATGTAAGAAAAAAAAGTTTGAAATCAGATTGTAAATTAAAAACTCTGAATTGATATAAGTTTTGATATAAAAAAAAATGAAAGGCAGAAGTTTTAAAACCTTGATTAACTTCTGGCTTGTACGTCTAATCTATTGTACAAATGACAGTGGGGGGGATGCACAGATTAGTCATCCACTCTTCAAAATAGATCTATAGTTTTCTTTTTCCTATTTCAGTGTTTGATTGATTACAAAGTTTTATCCAAACGACTATAGCATGTTAAAAAAAGTGTACTGCAGGGTTCTTGATAGAAGCAGCAATTTCGATTTGAACAAATAGTTATGAAAGTACAGGGTTATACCTATTTATGTATCAAAGTTTATATCCCAAATATTTATCTGATCTGGTTGATTTAATGAGAATCTCACAAAAGAGACATTTCTTAGCTTTGATGCATTTGAGAAATAGGAAAATGTAGGATCTTACAAGATCTCATCAGCTGATCACAGGACAACTCCACTCTCTGAGTTGATTATTATATCTCTGGAGATATACCAAGCCATAGTTATAAAAATCATCTGCCTATTATTTGACAAGAAGATATTTAAAATATATAGCTGCTCTTGCTTTTAAAAGATGCCAACCCTATCTCTCATTTATTTTTTTCCACTTAAAATCCTTAGTTTACCGACTGTTAATACCAATTCTTTGACTTAGTGACCCTAATCTTTCAGTATTGTAGCAGATCAATTAGAGATAAAACTGAATAATTAATAATTGCTTAAATAATTCCCTTCCTAAGTGTTTGCAATTAAAGCACTTAGGTTTCTTGAATACAAGTTAAGCTTTGCAAAAGCTTTTTGCCTGCACTGAGAATTACAGTATATATGATCCAAGCCAGTCTAATCCAGTCTGCTGTTTGGCTGCTTTTTAGCGACATGTGGATACGTACACAAACATATGCAACCCAAATGTACAAAGACATTTAAGACACACATTTGTGAGATATCCTGCCTCTAGGACCACCATTATTCACACTACTGCTGATGTACCTGACAGCAGGGCAAGCTCTACAAGCTAAATAGGAGATGCATAGATTTCACATAAATGCTCTCAGTAAAAACATCGCCTACTTTGTGCTAGCACTTGTCACTCAACAAGAGACTGCTCATATCTATGAAGTGGAAGATATATACTCCCAGAAATGGGCTCATTATCAGCAGAGGCTATTGTGGATAATACCTGGTATACAGATATTTTTTTCTCTTGATAGCAGTCCCCCTGAAATGGGACCATGGGTTAAGTGATGGTAGGTTTGACTTTTGGTAAAATAATATAGATTTACAAGAGAAAAAACATACATATGCTACCTTTTGACTAAAATTACAGACCTGAATAAAACATAAGAGGCTGCTATTTTCTGGCTCTGTGTGTTTCTCAGTGCCTTTTCTATTCTCTGTATTTTCATTTTTGACATTAAAACTCAGTATGGGTGGGGGTCTGTTTAAAGCTTGAGAGCAGATAACAATCTAGATAGAAAACATCCTTATCTTGTGTAATTACTAGTTTATTGCAGAGATTAAAGCTAATTGGTAGTAATATGGAATACAATGGACTTCTGCATTGCTGAAAATACAATTCCACAAACCATGTATCTATGAATTAAAACTCTTAATTTAAATAATCAAATGTGACTATGGCAAAACAAGTAGACATAATCACAGAATACTCGATAATATGAAAAATAACTAAATTTTAAAGGTTAAACTGCACATCCAAAGAGAAAACACCTTTGAAATTTAAAGAAAAAGTTCATTTTGGAATAAAAGGCAAATCAGGCAAAAATGATTTTAAAAAATGTCTTTGAAAAGAAAACAGCAGCCAGTTTAAAAATATGAATATATAAGTCAATATGCTACTCTTTGTACTGCTTTAATTAATCACTTTAAAAGGTTTAGCCTTTATAAGAGTGGGAATTCTTATAAAGGGAATAAAAATAAGAAGCATCACTTAAAAACACAGTTTAGGTCTCTGAAACTACAATTTTATTTGGAAAACAAGAAATATGAGTATTTTTAATGTTTTTCTGGTATTAGGGCCTCCTAAAAATTTAATTAACCTAAAGAAATGCAGTGTACGGACTTTTCAAACCTTCGATGACACCAGCGGTGAGAGCCCTTTACTCTAATTGTTTTAACAAAATTACAAATCAAAAAAATTTTTTTTTTACTCTTTTCACATATCTGGCTTACTATCCTGTCCATCCTATCCATCATTTAAGATCTCTTTATGAGCCATTTTTATCAACATTTTTATTTATTTTAAAAGTACTTAACCATCCCTTTAAAGATTAACTTCTGTTTCAGAAAGAAGGTAAATTATGATAGTCTTGGAAAAAATTCAAGTCCTTGTTATGAAAGTACAGAAAGATTAACTCAACAGAAGCATTGCACGATTGAACTGGAAATGTTAATTTTACAAAAACAAACACCTTGGAGAGCAGGATGCAATGTTTCCATTTCTTCTTCCACTTGATCTGTGTTTCTCATTTCCTTTAAGTAGTTTAGAGATACAGATAGCCAGAGAGGAGCATTCAGCAGATGATGTATTTTTCTGAATGAATTATATTTTGCTTTAAAGTGCTTTATATGCTCTGAAGTGTTTTTACATCTATGGTCTGATAAAGATATTGCCTTAGTGGTATGCCTCCAACCACAGTTTGTGCAGGCTGTAGATACTATTTGTGCCGCTATCCATAAGTAGCCCTAATCAACTTAGTAATGTCAGAAGTAAGGATAGGTTGCTATGAGACTACCAAAGTATTACATGGTAACCAGAAATAAAAATAATATAGCTTGATCCAAGAGAGAACTGATTTTGTTGAAAACAAAAACACTGACTTTTTCTGCATTTGCTAGAATACAACTAATTACTTCAGTAAAACTGTTATCTACCACATTTATTTGTTGCCATTTTGATACATACAATTATGCAAACGTTCTTTGTCAAATAACTGAAATATGTGATCTGAGATAACAATCTGAATGATGTGAATCTGATCTTATGACCTAACTGTTTAACGGACATGCAGCTTGTCATAGGCCAGCTTTAGCTCTATACTGTAAAGCACTAGTATAACAATATATTTTTTAGTTTCCACTCAATTGCTGTATTCTATGTGGCAGGAAATATTTCCTAACAGCCAAATTAGTATTTTATGTAGGCAACGTGTTTTATAGGCAGCTGACTAACAGTGCACGGGTGGTGAAAGAAGTAGCATTGTGATAGTTTATGCACCATAAAGCACCTCTTGGCTGTAGGGCTATATAAGTCTGATGGCATCAAACATAATATTGCATTAACTGACAGTTTGACACATTAATTTATGAGTTTTCTCTTTTGATGGTTTTCTGAACTTTAAATCAAAATTAAAGTAGTTTTCCTGCACATTGTGTAGCTAGTCCATTTGCAGCTGTATTTCCATTGGTCTTGGTCAGCTTCCTCTAAGGTACGATTTTAAAGCAAATTTCCTTTTTTTATGAAATAACCCGGTTTATCTAAGTACTTGGAAGTTCTCAGAACTCTAAAGACAACTGAAGTATGTAAAGTATCTAAATTCTTTATGTTTTTGATAAAAAAAAAAAATAGAATCTTATACATTTCTATTAGGATTATTAATGCAGAGCATATATTCATGTGTTTAAAGAAAACGTATGAAAGTAATTGCATTTTTTTTTATGTAGATTAATTTCACTGCAACTTTTATATGCTGTTTCTTGTTTAACTATAAATCTGCCACATGAGCAACATCACAAGCCTCGTTCCACTGTGGGTATTTATGTTTAAAACAATACAACTCAAGATGGTCAATGATGGTCAGTCATAGATGTTTGCAACGCTTAATGTCAGCATCTACAATGCTGCACAAATTCCTTAGCCAGCCCATATCTGGACTAAATGACAGGATTCATGCTCAGAGCCAACATATCATGTCTAAAAAAGTAAACAACTCCCTGTTAAAGAAGTTGGAACATGGACTATTTGTGTTAGGAACTGGCTAAAGGAGAAAAAGTAGCCTCAGTTGTATATATGTTTTAATTACGCTTTTGCATGTTGAATAGCAAATGAAAAACTCTGAAAGCCAATGCTTTATACACATCTCTACTGTCATAATTTAGTCAGTATTAGAAATGTAACTATAGCTTCTGTTAAAAGAAAAGGTTAAACTCTAAAGCAAAATTGCATGCCTTTTTGCTTTTTTTACTATGTTGAGTTAAAGGAATTATGCTATGATTAATGGTCATGTACTATTTGCTTAGCTCATATGTTTATTTATTAAATAATTAAATAATTTAAAAAAGGGTATTTACTTTGTCTATAAATTAATTAAATACACATTCTGTAATTGTCTACATAAAAAATTTTATGGCGTACAACCACAAATTTTATATCCTCTAATTTTAACAAAAAAAAACTGAGGATAAATTTTGATAAAAGCTTATAGTAATCAGATAATTATTTTAGAGCAACAGTTTCAGAGGAATACTAACACTGGATTAAAAACTATGTTTTGCATAGTATTTATATCCCGCTTTGTAATCCAGGGCAGAATCATCGGCAGCTTTGTGAATGTTTTATACATTTGCAATGAGAAAAAGGAGCAGCAGTCTGATTTATCAAGCTTGCGTACGCATGAACTCAGGCAATATCTTTTCAAATGTGACCTGTGTCTGTAGTGCTAGGTCGTATTCCCACAACCATCATCAAAGGTCGACAAACATCATTATTCTGCGCAAGAAAAAAACAGCAACAATGGTAGACGATGATAAAGAGAACAGTCTTTTTTGGGTTAGGTGTAGGTTAGGGTTAGGGATATTCTTTAAAAGACTGTGTTTTACAAAAGTGTGATCTAGCACGACCATCCATGATTATTTCCACAGCACAGAGCACACTCGCTACTTCTGACGTCATTGCGTCCTCAACTGCATATATGGGACTCTTAACTTGGATTAACGCAGCTCAAACAGTAGGCCACAAACAGGATGCATATATTTAGAAATGTGAATGGCCATGTAAAAATCAGATATTTAAAAAATCTGAAGTGAGCTTTTAAGCATAATGTGTCACATTATTACTGTGGCTGCCAAGCATATTTTACCAACTCCACCTCACTCAACCACACCTCTATCTAAGCCTTGGTAAACACATATTTTTTTGTTTTGATTTTTAAGTCTTTCCCCTGTGGTTACCATTGGTAACCATTAAATAACACTGATCAGCTTGCTTATTTAAATACCCATTGGCATTATTGTGGTGCTTCACATAGACCAGTTATGGTTAAAAAGTAGCGTTTAGAAGACTGAACATGAGGTGAAGCCTTGCACGCACATGTGATTTATCAAGGGAATTGCTTGTTTTTGGCCTACAGTATGCATCGTTTAATAAATTAAAAAAAATTTCGTGTACACCGTATTCAGCTTTTAGGCAGATGTACACTTTTTGTATAGATACCGTGGAATCTTTTATAAATGAGACCTCTTCTTTATGCTCTTTTTACCTTAGCTGCATGAGGAGCTTTCAGGATGAGGCAGCTGCCTGTGCCTTTGAGACAGAAGTAGGAGTAGGTGTATGGATCCCAATACACATGAGAACTTGAGGGAGTACAACAGTAAAAAAGTAGTTTGACAGAGCTTAAATAAAGGGTGTTATAGGAGGACGTTTCCTTTGGAGTTGAATGTAATACTGAACCTGGGCCTTTATTTAGATATCCTGTGCAGTTTTTATTAATCTGACTTTTCTGGCCTTTTTTTGTAAATACATTCAAAATTGTTGGATTTTATTTATCTTTGTCAAGCTGAAGATGGGTGTTCAGCTGTTTATTCAGATATTTATTACTTAAAAATACCAAACTATTCTTAAAAAAGAATAAAAGGGCTTCCTTTCTTGTTTATATTAGTCCTTTGAACCAACTGATTAGTCCCGCAACTAAATTTGTCAGTGGCAGCCCTAGTTTGAGCAGGTCTGTGCCTAAATATAATCACTGTCTGACGCATTTTGCCCTGCAGTGAGAGCAGAATGAACCTGGCTTGTTAAGCCTGGCCTGGCTTGCATTGTCCTTGAGGGCAAACCGCTGTTAGCATGCTAATGGCTCCACCTGTTTTTGCCATGCTTGTAGCGCAAGGGCAGAGGCAACAAAACACCCTGGCCACGCAAATCAAAACTCAGACACACACTTTCACAAATTCACACACAAACATAGACACATACAGTCAGATCCAGCACTGAATCATGCATGCCCCTTGTTCTTTTTGCACTGCTAATCCATTCCTACATGTTTCCCCTGCTATTTCAGATCATTATTAATGCCATAGTCGATGTTGCTGTGTTTGCGTGAAAGACAGACAGACTGTGAGAGGGAACGTGTGTGACTGGGTTTGTGGGTGTGTGTTGCATGCTATGTCGGGGTGCTCTGGGGAGAGGAAGCAGCTACAAGGTAAGTTGTGGGGTAAACGGCCCTTGAATCCAAATCTGCAGGTAGGAATGTTTATTAATGCCAACACCCCCTCCCCTTTCTTTCTTCAACCCTCTCTTCCTACAAAATGTGGGTGATTGTGTGTGCTTTTGAGAGGAGATCTAAAAAAAAAACAAAAAAAAACACATTTATGCATTTCTATGACTTGGCTGCGTGAGTTTATGTCTAAACAAACCTCAGTTTTGGCTACCAGTGCAGCATGGTATCCATCATGACGTTTGTGTTGACTTTGCATGCACAATGCGACGGTAACCCCTGGACGGGTGTGCATGTACAGTAAGTAGC